GAAATTTTGTTATACACAACCACTTTGTATATAAGTACTTTTTACGAAAGCTAGTTGAATGGAACAGCCTGATCGATTTCTTATAAGAAAGATCGAAAAGGTCAGATTCTAAAAACGAAGTGAGCGCGGAAAAGCATAACCGTTACGAAAGATTACTCTTTAACAAAGGGACCAGAACGCAAAAAAACCTTAGAACGCCCTAATGGAATCTCCAAACTCGATCTATTATCGACGCTTGAGTCACGTAGAATATTAGACCTTTGCATTTGGAATAACGTGAAACGATCGTATTGACGTACAGATCAAAGGGTTTTGTAAGTGCAGATGATAACGAGCAACAAGCCTACAATTGGTACTAACACGTTTACCGCCTATCTCATTACGATTCTAACCGCTAATATTTAGTGGTTTGCAACGCTCATGTCAAATTTGCTCTATTCCTATGTTTTGTACTTTTTCATTTCGGGTTAATTATAGAATTCCTAGGAGTTTATTTTAATCCTAAAAAAGAATCGTGGCTTTCCAGTTATATGAAAGACAAAAATGGCTTCCCGCGGCGACTGAGGTCACTGGGTCACATAAATTTAAGACGACAAAACTATTTAGAAATCATCAAAAATAAATGATAAGACGAAAAATTTCTGAGTTTTTTTAGTTGCATAAATTTCCTAGGTATTTTGCAGTATGAGTTTTACTAAAATTCGTAATATTAAGTCACGAATCGATGTATAGAATACATGTAAATTTTCTTTTGAGTTGCGTCGGTCAAACTTATCCGGGTCTTTGGTATCTGGTCGCTGGTCGCTGGTCTGCAGTAGAATTTTAAGTTAGCAATGTTATTATCCTCCGCGTCATTGGCGTTTTACGTGATCCGCATCCTGGAATTTGAATGGAAAATGAAAAATTACGAATGCAACTCCGTTTGCAGATGTTGTTAACGATTAGACTTGTTTTATGCAGATTCTCGATTAGATCGTGTGAACGAATGATTTAAATAAATGTTTTTATCAACAAGTTAATTTTAGTACAAACTAAGACTTTACATAATTTATCACACAAATTAAAACAATCCGGTATCTTAGTTAGTGTTTCTACAATTACAAAACTTTACATTAGATAATTTACAAGCGTTGATGAGTTCATATCTCCAAACGGTCTCAGTGATACATCACTTGTCATAATTGCTGATAACGAACAGACAAACAAATTTCGAGGGTTAACAATAGTTTATCTGTAGCCACGTATCCGCTATTTATAGTCGACGAAGAAGCGAACGCAATTGATCTCTCCAATAAAACGTCACGACAACGATAGGAGAAGAATAGAAATTCTCTTCAACAGAAGCCGTTTCTGTGCAATTCTTTCGATGTCTGGCGCAAATTGATCGTAAAGAAGCTATAGTCGATGCATTGAAATGTGAGCGTGAAGATCCTCGATGAGAATAAGAAGTGCATTGGTGTACGACGGACGGATGAGTTAAGCTAGGACGTGGTTTGAATAACAATGACGCGACCAGCGATAGTGTCGGCTCGCGCGCACCGCGGACCGGGAGACTAACCACCGGCAAACTGAGCTTTACTGACCACCCACTAAACTTGATAAGGAGCCTTATTATCTCCTTAACTTGTTAGCAGAAAGAATTAAGTCCTTTGAATAGAATTGTCGGCCGGAATTTACAGCATTTCAGAACTGTGTACTTAAATATCCAGATACTTAGTTTTATTGCAAACACTAATGCGGCAAGAAGTATTGGTACTATGTAAAATTTCAATGTGTTTAATTTGCTTGAAGTTCTCGACATTTACTTAGTAAAATTGAAATGACCACAGTAAATTAACACGCAAGTCTATATTTGTATTTTTGATTAAGAACAATGGGCAAAGCAATCAAGATGGCGGCTAAAGCCTACAATTTGTATAGCTTAATTAGTAAAACAGATTCGTGAAGCACAGTAGGAATAAGGGGGAAGCAATCAACGGGGAGCCTTTTAATTATCCCTAAATAATTAGTGGTTAAAAATGTTGGAGAATTTAAAATGCTGAAGAGACCGCGGTTGGAGACTGCGCAGTAACCTCTCTTAGTTTTCTTGATAATAAAATTTATATATCGTATATCTTCTTTTAACGACAATTCTTTGCCTTTATTGTAGAATGGTTATTTCGATTAACCATTCATCGATGCAAGCAACAAAACAGTTGCCATTTTAATTTTAAAGTTTTAGCTCAATGTTGCTGGACATTTTGATATTCTAAGGGTACTCCTGTCTATCAAATGATCACCTTAAATACTAATAAATGCCATAACTGTCAAATAGAGCAGGCACCTTCTTAGATGTTGTCTAGAGCCGCTGTCTATGTAGACATGGGTCTGACATATTAAGTTTGATTTTGATTAGATATGATATCCGTAATCTAATTAATGTGACTGTACTTGATGTGACGTTGATAGGTGGAGATCACCAAACTAACAGACGTCAGTTAAAAACTAAAATAACTTCGGATGAACAAAATAACAACTGGAAACCAATTATATCTTAAAGTAAAAGTACTGACATGTCTCCTTGATGCCAATAAAGAAATAGTGGTAGCAAACAGACAGCTTGCACAATACTAATCTTTAAAGATAAAGCTAAGTGTCCTTTATCTTCACGCCTTTGGGAGATAATATATGCCTGTATTGCTTCCCAAAGGCGTGAAGGTTAAGCATGCGCATGCTAACAAAAGCCATCTGTCATAAAAAGATCTTAGCACCACAGTCCTGTGTTCGCAACGGGTGCGCACATATGGGCCGCAGTTGCACACGGATCGGTTGTAAAACTCATAAGTACGCATTTACGAATCACTGTCAACAAAAAATCACCACCCAGGGCTGGTAAAAAATGCTACTCGAACAGAAAAAGGGTTAAGCGTGGAGTTAATCTGTCTTTGGTGGTAACAAGCTTAATGTCAAAGGGCATTAACAGTTTTGTATGTCAATAGTTTGCCTAGTTATATTGAATTAGGATTTAATATAATCCAGTTACCACTTAACCGAATATTAATGACGATAAAAATAATAAAAAAAAAAAACATTAAAAGAATATACATAAAAATCAAGTAACTATGAACATTCATGTTACTTTAGTGCAACTACGATCAACAAGTGGACAGATGCTCATCATATTGAAGTAAACAAAAGGTTACGAACTGAGATAAATTTTAAAATGTTCACACTTCAAAAAGGTGTTAGATAAAAGTTGAAAGCTAGGAGTGGCATAGAGCTATTATAGAGGGAGCCACGAGAGACGGTGTAGCGTTGACGGATGACGGCTGAGCTCCGGGGCGTCTCTGAGTAATGATCGGCCGACCATTACTCATTACGCGCCGTGACTCGCCGCGCCAAGCTTTTATTTCAGCATCGCACTACTGTTTGCGATGATTTATGTCGCTCTGCGGTGCATTGAGATGTTTACCTTTGTTTAGCTTTTTGTCCCTTAGCGTCTCTCGTCTTACAAATACCAGCATTATGTATTCAATTTGTTTTAAATTATGACTTTGAGATTATTTGCATTTTTATATTATAAATTGGTTTTATGGGACGCGTTTTCATTTCATAAAAATGTAAAAGACATAGGTTGAAAGAAAAGCGTTTTAGTACCATTTTAAGAGTTTCTTCTTAATATAACCTATCTCAATAATAACAAATATAGAAATGGAATACGTTGTTTCTTCTTCTTAAAGTGCCATCTTCTTCCGAAGTTCGGCGATCATTAGGGCGACTTTCGTTCTTGACACCGCGGCTCTGAAAAGTGAACGTACGCACCCACGTCTCTATGGCTACATTGATTATTTTTATTTTAAATCGTTCGTTATGATAACTCATAGTTTAAAAGGCACACAGATTAAAGACGTTTATCATTGATTTATACTAGCAGGAGATATTGTAGAACATTATACTAAAAAAAGCCATGCCTAAGTCCTTTTCTTTTACATTATCTTTACTAATAGAAAATAATAAACGATTAAATGTTTAATTTGAAATATACATCAATACAGACATTATACTCGTAACCACGTAACAAACTTTCGTTTAAAAACTTTCGCACGCCTCTCTTCATTGAATTTGTGAACGCAAAACCGGAAGCTAGAAAAAACAAACTCTCGAAAATCATTTCATTTTATCTTCAAATTATTATCTGCTTCTATCAATGTATACAATTTGTTCATACACTCGAATTTCACAATGTAACTATTTGTGATGTCGTTAACGGTACGCCTTCAAACATCTGTGAACGAACGGATCATGGTTTCCCGTAAAAGAAATATCGACGATAATAGTTCTCGTATTACTCTAAAAGTGAGAGAAATCGCAGACGCGATAAGGTAATAACAGGAGCTGATCCTATCTGTTGCGCCCCTTTGTTGCAGGCAGAGCACAATGCAGTTGTAAATTTTTGGGTTCTTAACTCCACAATGTTCCCGTCATTAATCTATGAGACGCCCGTTGTTACTCGAAGCGGGGCCGGGCCTGGCTTTGTACCTGCTCTGCGCCTTGGCCCTTTGTGCAGCCCCTGACATGTGCGGGGCCCAGATAAAAACCTTGTGCAATATTGTCTGCCTCCGACATATTTGAATGATCTGGAAATAATACGGGAAGATCGAATTGCTTTCGGTTAAATTTTAATATCTGTCTCACTGATTGCTTCGGTATGCATATAACCAAATTAAGTTTAATCTCCCCAGATAGTTGTAGCTATTTTAAAAATGTCACCCGCAAGCCTCACCGCACTTTTTCTAACACATCGTTTCCACTAAGCTCTTGACATGCATTAACACTTAAAGCTGTGACGTGCACTTTTTCTGTTCGATTTCCAGATGTGACTGCGTCATTAAAATCTTCTATAGCTCCAAAAAGATCAAAAGTTATCTCCTCGGCTGGAGACTCCCTTTCCCCCGTGAGCTCTTTCCCCTCCGTTCCCTGTTCCCCTCGATCGGGAGCCGCGAAGGCAGTCCAATCGTGACCTCGGCGGGCGACGGACGTGCGGGCCCGGGCTGCCGCTACGATCGCGCCTTACCGCGATATTGTAGAAACAGTTTTCGTTGTGTAGATTTAAATCTATGAAGTGAAACTTTGCGTACGCGTGTGTTGTGTTCAAAACTGTTTGTTAATAATAATCTAACTTTTACACGACTTGGATTGAGTGGATACGAAGTTATTTCTACAAAGTTATACTTGTTGGAGGAGACATAACTTTTTTTTGGTGTAAGTTCATTCTTGAATAGATGTTTTGATTTACAGTTAAGTTTTAGTGAAATAATTGAATTATTGAAGCAGTATGTAAAGCAATTATAACTAAAAACTTATACAAATATCAAATTAAGTTGAAATCGCTGTTAAAGCTCTACATAATTGTATTTTAGAATGTGCGTCAATAGAAAAGGTAGAAGTAAAAGGATGCGTGCTGTCTGAAGTCAACAAAAACATTGTTATCGAGTAACCTTTCTAACTCGGAACTGTTGTATGAGTTTAGATGCATTTCTACTGATACCGTTAGGATTTATTAGTCTCTACCCTGTCATTGATAAAGAAGTCGGCCACCGTATCGGGTCTCAAGCCTCGGCTATTATATGGTTATACAAACGAAATAAAGGCGACAGTTAGGAGCTAGGCCAAAAGTTAGATGAAAATCATGCGCTCAAAAAATAGGTTAATGTCCCTTCCCATTACCGTGTTTTGTCACGTGTCGAAGATTATAGATTAGACAGAAGAGACGCTTATTAAGGTTTCGGGTGTATGTAATTGTGATTGAAACGTGATTACGATCAAATAGACGTTTGTAAATATACGTGGAAAGCTTTCTTTGATTAAAAGACTAGCGGGACAGTGAGAATAATGGTTAATTGTGATACAAAAGGAAGCGTATAATTGATGAATTTTCAACTAGCAATTTAAAGTAGTTGGTAATGACCACTTGAACTATCGGTTTGCTTAGCAGTTGTGCTTCTGTGTTATATCTTAGTGACAACTTTATCGTAATTGTCATCGGATATCAACTGAATGTTTAGCTGTAAAAATTTAATAAAAACCCAATGTGATTAAGCTATTTTGTTTTAGGTTATGTACGTTCTTAATGTTTGTGGGTTAAAAGAGGTGTTTAGTAGTCGACTGGATATCATTTTTGTCAGGTCTGAATTTATAATCTTAGGGCCATCATTCTGTAATCTATTTGCGTTATTAGTTTTAATTTAAAGGAGCTACAAAGTATGTAAATTTAAAAAATCGTAATTGATTTTTTGCTACGATATCGATTGGTTATATTTGTTTCTAAATTATTTTTATTAACGTGTTTGTCATCACTTAATTCTCAGTATTACTTATCTTACTTAATATTATAAATGCGAAAGTTTAGATGGATGGATGGATGGATGGATGAATAGATGGATGGATGGATGGATGGATGGATGGATGGATGGATGTTTGTTAGCGTTTGTAGCCTAAACGGCTGAACGGATCTCTATGAAATTTGGCACAGATTTGGAGCATAGTCTGGAAGAACACATAGGCTACTTTTTATCCCGGGAATAGTTACGGTTCCCGTGGGATTCATTAATTTAGTTTTTTAATGTTTACTCGATCATTCTGCAACGGTTCAACATATCTTATTGAAATTTGGCACAGATATAAAACAAAGTCTGGAGTACACATGGGATAAGCTTCATCGCCGAGAAATGTCCGGTTCCCGAGGGATACGTAACTTTTTGTAATTTATATAGTTTGTATGTTTTCTAATACCACGCGGACGAAGTCGCGGGCAACAGTTCGTTTGTTACTAAAACAGGAATAGACAATATTCGTGTATTCCCGGAATAAAATGGAAACTGTCGGCTGATAATTTGATGCAAACTCGCAGTACCGTTACCACAAATAGAACTAATTGTTAACTTAATTTTGTAACCCGTTTTAGTAACAAATGAGGTTTTAAACATTTTTAATAATGGGTAAATGCATACTATTAAATCTTAGATCGACATAACGTTGATCGAATCTATGAATGGGAAATCATAACTAGTTTATAAGTACTTGAGGTAAGTCTCTAGTTCGTACTGGTGGATATTAATCATACTAATATTATAAATGCGAAAGTTTAGATGGAAGGATGTTTGTTAGAGTTTGTAGCCTAAATGGCTGAACGGATTTGGATGAAATTTAGTATAGATGTAGAGGATGGTCGGAAAGAACACATAGATTAATCACTTTTGTTTTTTTTAATACCACGCGGACGGAGTCGCGGGCGAAAGCTAGTATTTTTTTTTTTATTATAATGTTATATTTAGTAAGTACAGTGATAATGTTTCTCTAATGGCTAAAGAATTTTTGGAAATGGTTTGGTAGTTTGTGAATTTATTTGGTACATACAAATCGAAGTTGATAGTTGGAAAGTCGTTGGATGCGGAAGGCGGAGAACTTTTATGGAAGGTCTACGTCCAACTGTGGACAGACAAAGGCTGATGATGATGATGCTATAAAAGTACTTCTACATTCCTCTTTATAATGTTAATATAAATGCGTATTTGACATTCTTTTCCCGACATAAAATATATTGTTCCTACATGAAAAACCAATAAAAATAATGATAAATATCTCTACTTTTAGAAAGCGAATGACAGAGACGTCACAATTCACGTACAATGTTACTTCTATTCTAAAACCATAGATAAACTAAATAATACTTACCAATTGTTAAATTATCTTTTTTTATTTTCTTTTATCGATTCTAACGTCTTTGAGAGCTAACTTCCAAATAATGTACAAGTTAACATAATAAAAATTCTTAACAAACTTATGAGAATTTATAGCGGCACTCTAAAGCCTATAAATTATTTTATCTCACAACAAAAAAAACATTTTATAGCACAATAAAGCGAAATAATAGTTTAACGACCGAATATTGCTAAGGCGGATGGGATGCGATGTCCATTGTTACAAGAAACATATTAATTTTATATTATGTGTACATAAGATCATATTTTTAAGTTCCTTATCGATAACTAGTATTGTTTTATTAAAATTTCAATTTGATATGTGCATAAAACAACGCAGTGTAGACATCTAGAAATAACCCTAAAACCCATGCCATGTCTACATCCCGTAGCATATAATGCATTTAAACATAGATTTAATAAAAAAATGAATAACAAAGTTTGATCATATAGAAACAAACTTGATAAAAAGTTGTTATACATTTATTCTTGTCAAAAAAAAATAATGCATAATTCCTTTGGGGTTCAAGAACTTGATCAACACAACGCGTTGTAACCGTCTTTAGTTCGTTTGTTTAAAAAAACTGTTTACGGTTCTCAGAATCAATATTACCACGAACCCGAGCATCGAGCGTAACAGTAAAGGTCATTAATACGAAGCAGGGTCGACAGAGATAGTCTATAGCCGTGTTTTGCTTAACTAATTAGATTGGAAACGAGACTGGGGTCGGCAGACCAGTAAAAAAACCATTGTTTCTAACATCTTTTATATTGTGAATTGCATAAACTGTAGTTTTCGTTAATTATAATTTTCACATGCTATTATTTTTTAAATAAAAAACGCGTATTTTCTTAATGCATGTAAGACTTTGAATGTAAATTTTACACGTACATTGTACTAAAGATATTTTTACTAGAAAATGCTTATATAATTCGCTTTAGCCAAGCTAACATAAACATGACAAAGCTCACCGCAGGTTGTTTACGTAAAACCTATCGCTCGACGGAAGCTGAGCTTATCTGGAATAAAACAAAGTGTCGTAACCCGGAGGTGGGTCGCAACAATGAAATGTGCCGTGTTGCGACCACTCCTTATCGACTCAACGCGGACAGGCTTAAGTGTTCAATGTATAAATAACATATAACTGCACGCTAATGAGGTTAGCTAGGCCACACAAGTCGGTAGATAACGCATTTATTTTAAGACTTTGTAATAATCGAACTATTTGCGTATTTGAATCCTAGTACTAAAGTTCCTACAATTTTATCTATAACTAGCTGTTCCCGTGCGACTTCATTCGCATGAAAGTATTATATGAAAATTGTTTTATTGATTACATTTGTCAAATGTCAAAATTACAGACATGACATGATGACAAAGCATGGCAATTTTGCTTCCTTGATGTTGTGTTGGCAGCAACTTATGGTCTCTTTCCCACATTAGGGTTTTTATCCAAAATATTTACCCCCTAAGTTTAATGGCGTGAAAATATATATCCTAAAGCGTGACGTACGTGCAGAGCTTTTTATTTAAAAAAAAATATTCAAAAATATGCTGTAATTGCTGACATCTTAGGCAACAAAGAAATGTGTGTTTACGCTTTACTATAATAGTAGATTGTCGCAAACAAATGCTTTGTAACATGAAAATTTCTGTTTACACATTACAATTTTATTCATTAAATAACCACAGGTTTGAATGTAACTAAATACCAATATTAATCGCGAATTCCCGCTAACGAGCTATGTTGAAAGGCAAACAAATTGCCAGTTTACAGTCGATTCGCTTTCGATGTCTGATCAAATTTGTTGACGACTGTATCGAATTGTTCTTTTCGTTTTCTAATGTACTAGAGATCGTGACATGACGATGCATCGGTGATAGGAATTCGTTCTACTGACTTTGAAGGCCTCAGATGTCAATATATTTACAATCATTTCATTTCTACAGTAAATTATATTTAATATTCGATAAATAAAGACGGATTTGTAAGCATAGATTTTACCTAAATCTGAAGGCGATTACGATAACATGTGCTATAAAAGTATTTTGCAAAAGTTATTAAAACCAGTTACTTTTAAACGTTTCTCTTAAAAATAAGACCGAAAACGTTAACATATAAATCATGCACCAATACATAAATATCAGCCCCAAGGCATTAGTTCCGAACCCAACAATTTCACACGGCGGACCATAAAAGCGGTTTCACAACATTTTTCATCCAAACCCACAATCCTGTTATTTGGTTTTTACTCAAAAATCTCTTCGAAAAGGGACCAATTAGTTACGCTCTGATGCCAAACATAAATTCCCTCTACTGTCCTTAAGAGTTCGAAGTAAAACTGGCTTTAACACAGGTAGAGGCGTAGATCAAATAAAAAACTTACACAGGTAAAAACAAAGGGAAACCGAATACAAACATAGACTTTCATAACCTTATAGAAATAGACAGTTTATTCTTTTTTAAAAAAGAAGTTTTTCGTATAAAATTTCTAGTGAAAACATAAATTTTATAGAGAAACTAAACTAACGTTATTTTATTACAATTTTATGCTGCATAATGGCACACCATAACTAACACCTTTGGGTCACAGATGTAACGTTTTACCTGCCTTGAACCGTTTACTGTTACAAACATCGAAAAGAAAACAAAACCGCATCTAGTTAACATCATTTAAACACAAGAATTTCAAGCTCTTCCTCAGTCAAGCAACATTTGTATCTCCTTAAAGTATATTTCATTTTTAATTATTCTTTGACAACTACAAATGATCGATTAAAGTATTCTCGCATGTCTGTACTACTAAATTGCTCCTAATAAACGGCATAGTTTCAATCTACAAGCGTATACTCAACTAAATAAACAATGTAGAGAACAGAGTCAAACATGGTTTATTGTTTTAGGTGATGCGAGGTCGCGAGTGAAGCATGGCGCGGGCAGGGACCGTGTGTCTACTACTATGGCTGTTCGCCGTCGCTGATGGTAAAGGTTAGTATCATAATAACAACAATACCATAACATATAGAGATATTGAGAATAATATGAATGAAATAAGTATATAAAAATATTGAATGAAATCAAATAACTAAATTCTCTTACTTTTGCTTGGATACATATTTACATGTTTATAAATATGATTCAGTCGTATATGAAAGTAAGTAATTTGGACAGTAAATGCAGACGCACACTTATGACTATACTACCCTACAACCGTTGTGCGATTGTCGTTTGTTTCGTAGGCCATTAAACTATTTAGTTGCACAACTAAAAATCGAGTAGTGTGCACACCTCCATATAAGCTCGTAGGAATCAAAGCTAGACTAAACAGTTGTGCGATAGTTTTGTTTAGTTTGCGTACATTCTTAGTATTTAATAAAATAAGAAATATGTTTGAGCAGTGTCAAACCACTTATGAAAGCGTTAGGAAAGATAATCTAGTAGCAAAAAATATTCAACCCGAGACTTGAATATGAAAAAATCTTTAAGAGGGTGATAAAAAGCTTGAAAGATAACGCCAAAAATTCACTAAAAAGACTCGCAGCACCTCTCCGATCAGATAAACGAAGGTAGTACAAAAAATACAACTGCCATCGGCACATGAGATACCGTTGCATCTGCGTTTAGAGCAAAAAGTTACATAATTGTTGAACTTAAAATAGAAAGCTAAGTCATACTGCAACTTTTCACAAAATATTGACGCTTTTCACATACCTTTAAAATATTATGTAAACTTTAGAAGTTTCTCTAGTATGTGAGAAACAGAATTATAATAAATTTTGTAGCTTTGTTAGTTAATAAAATAATTATTCAAATGAATTCAGTTGATTCAGAGTTTTTAATATAGACAGATTATGAAAAAATACGATTGTTTAAATAATATTGACAGACAACCAACATTCCGTATAGAAGTTATACAAAACAACAAAAAGAACTTCTAAGTTGTTTTCGAAAAATGTTTAAAAGATAAAGCGAAGACATTAATTATCACTTTTTTCGTCGCGGGATCTCTGAGTGAAAAAAATTAGAGATAGAAAATAAGGTAAAGAAGGACTCGCAAAAAAGCACTCCATCGTGACGAACCAAGAGCCACTTCCGAACACGACAATCCCATTAAAAGTTTTATCTATAGAAATTGTATTATGTAGTCAACTGATAGCTTTAAAAAATAATAAACTTGATCGTATACTAACTTTTTCACACATTACACTGTTAAATTCTGTTGTAAATTAGACATTCTGTAATTTTGAGTATCAAGTATATTCTAAACAAGTGAAGAGACAGTACTCACTTTTGAGATTGATTGACTGCCCTGCCGTAATAAAGTTCCATACTACTACGGAGGGTAGCTGAACAATTTGCTGATACGCAAACTAGCCTACAGCTTCGCTTTCATACTTACTTACATACTTTACTGTTTGTGTTAATTTTAGATTGTGTTTATTGCGTAAAAAAAATGTAAATATTTTTTTCATTTTGAGATTTGCCCTTTGCCAATCTCGAGGATGGTCAAGGACATATTCCAAATACAAACAGTTTAAAATTACATTTGTATTGCAAATAAAGTGAATTTTAAATGAAATCCGATGCACCATCACGGACAGCAGCTGCTCTCAATGAAACAGAAAATAATAGCAGGAGAGTCCCCGGAGACGCCATTATAACACTAACAAAGGGATTATCTTGTTTGGGAACCTCTTGACTGGCACTCGACGACGCTTTGTATGTATCGTGTTACATTTCCAACGTAAAGGTAAAGGCTATTCAAGTAGTTTTTGTGGGTGTGGTCCGCCTTTGTGTTTTTTCTCGCACAGGGGTGAGAATTTGTCGGTGCGACTGTTCAAAGAATACTTTAATGCGATTCGAGATTGGGTCTTGCACCTTTTTTGCCACCAACGGACATGCTAAAAGCGTTTAAAAAAATAATTAGCTCTCTTGTGGGTATAATCCTAATAGTTTGGTTAGACACGAAATTTGAAAACATACGTTGTTTATAGCAAATCCAAAAAACTATGTAGTAATAAATGAATATTAAGAGCGCACGTTCACCTTTGACTGAACTATCGCATTGATTCTTATGAGCTTATATGAAGTTGCGAACGGTACTCGATTTTTGGTCGCAACTAAACAGTTGAATTGGCTGTGAAACAATTGACAATCGCACAATAGTTGTGCGAAATTTGACTCAAAAATGTGCCCCAGCTGTAAATTTTACGCCTATAAACAAATGTACTACAAGCTATTAAAATGTGATATGTAAGGAAAATTACATTTTTATTGTCGTATTGTTTAGTAACTTTCGACATTCAATGAATGCTGTCGCGGGCAATGAGTCACGGAACAGCGGCCGTATATCAAAATGGTAGTCTTTATCTGCTCTAACATTTGATTTAGTTGAAGAAACGTCACAAGCAAATCACCCACAGCACCGTTAACTACTCCGAGTGCATCTTTTTATGTCTCCCTACGCGTTAAGTGCATTTACGAGTAAACTACAAGCGAAGCAACACCACGCCTCTATATTTTATTACGTCTCGACTCAAATATAACGAAGCATCATTGATTTATTGCATTTCTCTTAAACTAATAAATGCATCAAGGGATTGCTTTATTTACTCATTTAATTAATACATATATTGCTATTTCACCAATTATTTTATAGAAACTTCAAGAGTCAAATCTTTACAATTTGTACGAAAAAGGGTGGATTTAAAGACACAATTCCAAATCGTAATTTTTTTTATGCGAGATATGCAGAAAGCCAGAAGATATCCAACACTTGCTGTTGGAGTGTGAGAGAAACAGACGGGAGCGCGAGCTACTCTTCCGGGAACTAAAGCTCAACCCGTCCGATGTAAGCATAATTATGTCAATATTGGCTGAGCCAGCATCTGAAGCGGCTGTACGATTATGCCAGCTCGTTTCTTAGGATCTACTAGCAGCACTATGGGATTGACATGTCTTTTCCAAGACAAAAATCCCTCTTTACCTAACTAAGATTAAAAAAAAGTATTTTTTATTACTTCAATATCAAAACCTTATTTAACGTCTACACTATCCACCGTTAGGATGATATAAATTTACTAATACCGTAAATTCACTGAGAAATAAAGCTCCTTAACCGCATGAATAAAGCCACGAACGTTTGAAGCACTCAAAATGCTGGACGGAGTTTAATGTCCGATATCTACATCCATTACACTCTCTGCATTTTATTCGATCCGTATTTGGTTCGAGTGGCACTTATATATGTTATTAGTTGCATGTGTTATGCTTTGGTGATAAACTGGTGTGTGGTATGCTCGTTAAATAGACCTTTTAGTACTGACTTTTACTCCAATCGTATCTAGTAATTCGGGCTATTAATACTTATTCTGAGTGTATCTTGGTTATTAACTCCGGCTGGTTCTACGAGTATATGCAAATGTCAACTGATATATGCGATAAGTAACGCAATCAAATTGTAAAAGTTGATCTAACATAGCTTACGAATTAATAATTGTATTAATTAAATCTAACAGTGGTAGAGCCCGCTTTAACATCTTCGCACGAATGGGCCGGCTCGCCCGGTGCAATACCACAACCACACAGAAAACAGGCGTGAAGTGGA